ACCCCTGCTCTATCAGATGTACTGCATCCTAGGACATTTTTTCATGCTTCCTGCAATATAGGCCTTGGCAGACACTATAGCGTATCCCATAAGCCAACACATCCTCTGTAAAGCACATCTCACTGTGTAACAGGGCATTCTTTCAGTGTCCCATATTCGATGCACTATATGCATATGGTATGTATACAGGCTGTAAACAGTACACATGGATACATTAAAATACACTGACCGCCCCTGTCATTTGAGCTAGCAGTTAACAGGACTAGCTACAACGTTGTCTCTAAAAGCTCAACACTCGGCTTATGTGTGTGTAGAAGCTTCCCACTGCTCTTGTCTCTCCCGAACACACAAATGCACAGATACGAATGTACTCCACACATCGAGCTTGATGGAACGATATGTCAGTGAGAGGAGCACTCAGACGTTTCCTTGGAGAATTATAATACACTCAGCTGAGCAAAAACTCTAACTGACCCACTATGAATCTCATTGCATCCACTGGACTGGCAGCAGGTAGTAGCTGTTGTGCTTTTATTTGGACAGTATTCAAGACACTGAACTGTTGGGAGAAAGAATGAGTAGCTAACATCCAACCTTAGATTTCCAGGACTATAATCATACTTTCCCTGTTTCCTGTCATAAATTATCTGTAAAGACTCATTGACATACAGCACTCTCTTAAAATGGATTGTGACCCAAGTGAGTATTGGATTAAGTCAGTTTAATACTTAAATGTTATTCATCCTAGGCAATGCTACAACTTTAAAGGGCGAGAAGTTCTACAAAAGCAGAATAATACAAGTTGAAGAGGAACAGTAAACGGCAACCCTGCCTGTTCTACATTACTGCATTTATGCATAATAGATTGATACAACAGCTGAGCTAACAGGATACTAAACAACTAAGATACATACAACAATCAGGCCTAACATAGAGTGTTTTCTCCATTTTGCTGTCGAAACAGCCCTGACTTCTCCACTCCTAAAGGTGTGTTGTGTATCAGTAGTGTTAGCTGTATGTCCTTCTAAGGTGCTTACACAAATGTATAGACCAGGGGGCTTTGATTCTTTCTGGTAAACTTTCACTCTGTACTTCTAAAAGAAGACCAGACCACAGGGATAACATCATGCAGCTGAAGCAGCTATGTATTTAAGAAGGTATTGCCAAAATGATTGTTGACCAGGAAGGAGAGAAAAAAAAACACACATAAAGATTCAAGAAACAAACTCATTGATCGACAAGCACCAAAAATATAAATCTAATCCCTGCACCTTTTTCATAAGAGAACAAATAATGCAGCAACATAAAATTTATTCCGTCTGGGTGCAGATTTATTTCATATGCATAAGAGGCAGGCCACTATGCACATCATACAGGACAGCAAGCTGTCCACCATGTTCCTAATGTTCTTTCTTTAGTGTGCTGGATACCCTAACCCTAACCCTACCCTACTATAAGCAAACTGCACAAGGGTTCCTGGCGTAACATTGAACAAGCATCGCATCGACTCTGCCGGCTTGCTAGTTCTCACAGTGAATTTTGATTCCACTCGTTTTCCATGTGAATAACGCACATGCACCAATATTAACTTCTTTTTCAATTTGAGTTACAGTTGCTCATCTGTTGCATTAAGTCACATGGCACACTTATCGCTCAACACATGGATTAGTCAACAACTGTCTCTTCCGTGAATCCTCATTGTAGATACTAACCACCACAGACTGGCAGGCCCCTCAAAAGAAGCAGTTTTGAAGATGATCATGCATCACAAGTTGGCTCTCGTCGAATTTGCTTCCACAACCCATTATCCTTTCTTCTAACACATTATCTTTGAGGAGAAAATACACTCTTGCTACCTAGTATGTCCTTCCCCCAAACAAGAGACACAATAACGGAGTCCAATGTTATCTACTTCTTCTGTCAGTGATTATGTTACAGGTAATAAGTGCATGTTTTTCAGCCTAAGATACAAGAGGGAACATGGTTTTCCTGTACTGTTTCCACAGTACAGGAAAATAGGTGCCTTAATTTGATTTGTTCCAGATGGACGTAGTTTACTAATTTGGATTTATTGATTGGGAGAAAATGACGTAGGCATGACGAAGAAAAGCATTGCATTAAGTTAATAAATTAGTATTAATGTTTCTACTGCAGCTACAGTACTGCTTAATATTGTCAGCAAGTTTCTACATACATTTTAAAATGCTAACAATTATTTTGATACCTGAATAACAACCACAAAAACAAAAACAAACAAAAAAAAATGTAACAGTCCAGGTAAATGACAGACCTTATAACACTCAGAGTAACTTTAGTTGAGCTCGTTCTTTGGTTGAATGTGGTTCTAAAAACAATAGCTTGGAGGACAATGCAGTATAAAGCATAAATAATCAAAATCATACATAAGGTCGGTTTTCTGCAATATATATATAAAATGCACCTGACGTCAGCTTCAAGATAAAGTACACGACATATTAAAGCTTCTCCTTAATCTCCTCATAACATGGAATGATTTGAAGTCCAGAACAGCAAAGATTTATGTTGGGCAGTGGTGTTAAAATCTAACTTCACAGACATTTATAGGTTGTGGAGTGTGGGGCATGTCCTAACACGGAGGTTATTTCAAGCACAGACATTTTACAGAGTTTCTTAGAGTTAAGCCATGTGTACATCCAGGCATTTTGAGATTTTGTCAAATGAAAACACAGTGCACATTTTCAGACGGCTCCCACTTAAACTCATAGAGATTTGCTAAAACAATGTACAGCACCTGTGGGGCGAGTTGTAAAACGTCTCTGCTGCTACTTTCAGTGATGATTTAAAAAAACAAAAAACCTGCAGGTTACTAGAACAGACATTGAGTTTTCATTTGCAGCATACCAATTAAAGATGTTGAAATTAAGATAAAAAAAAATATATAATAGGGATAACTATGTCCAATGGTTGTACATGATTGCAAAAAAAATGTTAAGTTGTGCCCTGCTCTCCCTTACAGTCAAAGAGAAACAGGCACTGACTCTGAGCAATACAGTGAAAATACTCCCCCCCTCCCACATCCTTGAGCATTGAAAACATAAATGAAACATGTATTTAACACAATAAAAATATACTACAAAAATATCAAAAATATACAAAGTAAACATTCTCATTGTTCAGAGATAACATTTCTTTTACTCTTCTAGCTGTCTGAACTGATTAGCCCAATAATTTGGGTTATTAGTAGAGATAATTGCTTGTCCCCACATTGACCTCTAGCTTACACTAAAAGAAACAGAGCAAAGGGATGAATGCTAAATGCAAGTCTCTGCTTGTACTGAAACATCATTATAACTGGTCTCAGACTCTCTCTGTTGCTCTGATGAGTATTCCCCCGACAGAATAATGTGATTCTGTCTTTCTTTGAATCGGGGCCTAGGCAGTTTGAGTAGCAGATAAAAGTTGCCCATGAATTCTCACACCAGACCTTTTGTCATTACAAGCTAGGTTACAAATTCATTAAAAAAAAAATGCTAGCACTAAAATGATCTTGACTGTCCATTTTTGTCTGGAGCAGTTTAAGTAATATAATACATACAGGTAATTTTCAAAAAATTTGCATATTGTGATAAAGTTCATTATTTTCCATAATGTAATGATAAAAATTAAACTGTCATATATTTTAGATTCATTGCACACCAACTGAAATATTTCTGGTCTTTTATTGTTTTAATACTGATGATTTTGGAATATAGCTCATGAAAACCCAAAATCCCTGTCTCAAAAAAATCAGCATATCATGAAAAGGTTCTCTGAACGAGCAATTAACCTCATCATCTGAATCAACGAAGTAATTTAAACACCTGTAAAAGATTCCTGAGGCTTTTAAAAACTCCCAGCCTGGTTCATTACTCAAAACCGCAGTCATGGGTAAGACTGCTGACCTGACTGCTGTCCAGAAGGCCATCATTGATGCCCTCAAGCAAGATGGTAAGACACAGAAAGAAATTTCTGAACGAATAGGCTGTTCCCAGAGTGCTGTATCAAGGCACCTCTGTGGGAAGGAAAAAGTGTGGCAGAAAACGCTGCACAACGAGAAGAGGTGACCGGACCCTGAGGAAGATTGTGGAGAAGGGCCGATTCCAGACCTTGGGGGATGCAGTGGATTGAGTCTGGAGTAGAAACATCCAGAGCCACTGTGCACAGGCGTGTGCAGGAAATGGGCTACAGGTGCCGCATCCCCCAGGTCAAGCCACTTTTGAACCAGAAACAGCAGCAGAAGCGCCTGACCTGGGCTACAGAGAAGCAGCACTTTGGACCACTGTTGTTCAGTGGTCTTCAGTACTTTTTTCGGATGAAAGCAAACTTTGCATGTCATTCGGAAATCAAAGTGCCAGACTCTGGAGGAAGACTGGGGAGAAGGAAATGCCAAAATGCCAGAAAGTCAGTGTCAAGTACCCACAGTCAGTGATGGTCCGGGTGCCATGTCAGCTGCTGGTGTTGGTCCACTGTGTTTCACCAAAGGCAGGGAAAATGCAGCTAGCCATCAGGAGATTTTGGAGCACTTCATGCTTCCATCTGCTGAAAAACTTTATGGAGATGAAGATTTAATTTTTCAGCACGACCTGGCACCTGCTCACAGTGCCAAAACCACTGGTATTACTGACCATGGTGTTACTGTGCTCAATTGGCCTGCCAACTCTCCTGACCTGAACCCCATAGAGAATATGTGGGATATTGTGAAGAGAAAGTTGAGAGATGCAAGACCCAACACTCTGGATGAGCTTAAAGCCGCTATCGAAGCATCCTGGGCCTCCATAACACCTCAGCAGTGCCACAGGATGATTGCCTCCATGCCACGCCGCATTGAATGCAGTATTAAAACACATTTCTTCTATTGGTCGGATGAAATATGCTAATTTTTTGAGACAGGGATTTTGAGTTTTCATGAGCTGTATGCCAAAATCATCAGTATTAAAACAATAAAAGACCTGAAATATTTCAGTTGGTGTGCAATGAATCTAAAATATATGACAGTTTATTTTTTATCATTACATTATGGAAAATAATGAACTTTATCACAATATGCAAATTTTTTTAGAGGGACCTGTACTACTGGTCCCTTTTTGTTGCAATAATGAATTATTATTTATTAGGCTACTAGTTGGCTACTGATGCAAGCAGGACAACCACTGTTACAAACTATTTCTACTGTATAAGACTAACTCCATGCAGACATGAGAATGTCCTAAACAAGATGACTGGCAGTTCTGGAAAGTGCACTGTTTATTCTGTGTGATAGGAGAACACGAGGTCTTCTCCATCTACTGTTTGTGTGAGTTCATCTTGCTCTCACCTTGTTCTGCGTTTTTATCCTTGGTACTATAATTCATGAGCAGAGGGAGACATAAATTCATCTTTCTGCAATACTCACAATGTTTGACCTTCCATTGCAAGTCACATTATACATCTGTTCGCATTTTAGTGATATTTACGAAATTAGTATTGACCAGAGTGCAGTTTCCTGTATTTTTGCCCTCTGGTCTGAAGTCCTCAGTATTGTGGTTAACGGGCTCCTGGATCTCAACATAGTCAGACTTACTGAGGGTGGATCCGCTCCCACTTCGACCACTCTTCTTCAGATCATCAGCAGAATTGCCTTTAGGCACACTTGGGATATTCAGATACTGCGCTTGTTCCTCACCCTCTGTCTCTCTGTGGTAGAAATAGTTAAAATTTGATACAATGACAGGCACGGGCAAGGCAATAGTCAGCACACCAGCGATTGCACAGAGAGAGCCCACAATTTTTCCTCCGATAGTGGTCGGCACCATGTCTCCGTAGCCTACAGTGGTCATGGAAACCACTGCCCACCAAAATGCTTCAGGGATGCTGCTAAACTGTGAATGTGGCTCGTCTGCTTCTGCAAAGTAGACAGCACTAGAGAAGAGAATTACACCAATAAACAGGAAAAAGATTAAGAGGCCCAGCTCACGCATACTGGCCTTCAGTGTCTGTCCTAAGATTTGGAGACCCTTAGAGTGACGTGAGAGTTTGAAGATGCGAAACACCCTCACGAGACGGATGACACGGAGGATGGCCAAGGACATGGCCTGCTGGCCAGCCTGGCTATCCTCTGGCCTTTCCGCAAGCTCTGTGCCCAGGGTGATGAAGTATGGAATGATTGCCACAATATCTATGATGTTCATAATGTTACCAAAAAATCCAGCTTTGCTTGGACAGGCAAAAAATCGAACGAGGAACTCAAAAGAAAACCAGATGATACAGAGGGTCTCCACAATGAAGAAAGGATCTGTAAAATATGTCGAGGGGTCGTATGTAGAGGTGGAGTTGGACATGGAATGCAGCGGGTAATTGTACATCTCCTCATCTTCACTTCGGAAAAGTGGCAGTGTTTCCAGGCAGAAGCTTACAATCGATATAAGAATCACCATGACGGAAATGATGGCAATAATTCGAGCTGGACCCGAGCTCTCTGGGTATTCAAACAGAAGCCACACTTGTCTCTGAAACTCATTTTCTGGCAGCGGTCTCTCCTCTTCCTTTATAAAACCTTCATCTTCTCTGAAAATTTCCATAGCCTCCTCACCCAACTCATAAAATCGGATTTCCTCAGAAAATATGTCCAGAGTCACATTGACAGGCCGGCGAAGCCTCCCACCAGATTGGTAGTAATACAGGATGGCATCAAAACTTGGCCGGTTCCGGTCGAAGAAGTACTCATTCCGGAGGGGATCAAAATACCTCATCCTTTTCTTGGGATCCCCCAGCAGTGTATCTGGAAACTGAGATAGGGTCTTCAGCTGCGTCTCGAAGCGCAAGCCTGAAATGTTGATGACAACCCTCTCGCAACACTCATGGTCTGGCTCTGGGTCATACTGGTCATGAGGCTGACCTGAGTGCGTCGCTGCTTCATCTGCAGGGTCGCTGGTGGCAACCTTCATGGTGGAGGAAGATGGGGCCTGCAGCTTTCAGACAGGATGGGGCCACAGTGGGCTGGATGTGAACCTTCTTTGCACTTATGGGATCGGGCACAGGCACCTCTGCCTGCAAAAAGCTAAAAGGACAGAGAGGAGAGGAAGGCTGCAATATTAATGTAACCACTTGTTGTTCAACACTGTATTTCGTATTACATGAAATAAATGGTAACATTCAAACTGAATTCATTTTTTTCAGATACTAAATCACTACAAAGACAAACTACCTTCAAGTGTGTTGTGTAGATTTCGACAAACACAAAGCAAAGGAGTAGATACTGCCAAGTAAAGAAGAATTAGGGACTGGGGTTGAACAACAGGAGTCTCCGTGACTCTGCTGGGTTTAAATATTAGGTTAGGAGTTCTCTCTCACATAAGCACCCTGCAGGATCAATATTCTCACCATAATGCTGTATCCAATTTTACAGGGTGAAATTACAACAAGCAGATCTGATTAAAAGTTGAGTGCTTCTCACATTCTCAAAGGTGGATGCTCAGATTATACATGTGACTGGCATTTTTCTAAAAACGAAGGAATTTAAGTTTCTATTGCTTTATATTTCAACTACATTTGGGAGGTAGTTCATGTTACCTTTAAGATGTTAAGCCTGTTATGAAGTTTAAATCAGTATTCCTGAATACAATCTGAAACTTAAGCCTATTTGTCTTTTAACAATAATATACCTTGATGACAATGGCTCAGGTGATGAGTTTGGTCCAAAGTAAGCCCCCTCTGATAGACGGGCTCGTTTTTGAAGGGTTATCAGTCCCCAGATGACTCTGCCTCTGCATCAAGGCGGCAGTGGGACTACAGGAGGGGGGGACAAGGTGTGAGGATGCTGGATCTACCCTCTCCTCCCCTCTGCGTCCAACAGAAACATGCTGGGCAAAAAGTACTACTGACTGAAACTGTCTGGCAAGGTTATGCTGGGAAAGGCGACTTCTCTTATAAGATAATTTGAAAATGCAGTCATCAGCAAAAGCGGACCTCTGTTTTCTTCAGAATAACATGCGGACGCGACAGGCGGCAACAGCCAAGGTGATCCTCTGCAACCTCTTATCAGCAGAGGCGCCGAGGAAGGGAGCCTGAGTGGGAAGCGCTGCTGGCAGCATTTTTATTCAGACACCTCCATGCTTCAGCAAATATGTAAGGCGCAATCACCTGTTTGATCCTCAGACATGTTTCGCCCCGAGGGGGCTTTGTATCTCTTTTAGGTCTTGAATTGTGATTTTTTTAAAAGCCAACCCCATGCACATTTCACCATCTTTTTTTTTTCTGATAGGAAATATCCATGAAAAATAACAAGTGATGCGCATAACAAGCGGATGCTTTATGTTCACAACCCATTCCATGGACACGAAATCCTCCGACGACGTATTTAATCGCTATAACGTACGTTTTCTCCGTGACTTTTAAAATAAAGCAGCCAGCCAGGTTCATGCACTGGGATTATCATACATTTAACGGCATCTTGTTCGGTAAAGTCGGATTAGTTTGGAACGACAGGTGCCAGACATGCTCAAGCCATTTGCAGCCATCCTGTTTGGAAGGACAGCCACAACAATCTTCATGCACTAAACAAAGCAGCATAGCATTATCTTCGTACTACAGGATTGCTTCAGAGGCTAATGGCATGCAGGAATTCACCGGGATTGTCTTGTTGCGCAGACGCATGAATTTTTATCCAGTTAGTTTCTTCTTTTGAGTTGCCTTCCGGTCGTTCTTCTGCTCCTTGGCATCTGTCCGTCTCAGCATTGGTTTGACCAACAACAACAGCGGCTATGGGTTTTTTTTCATCACGACCATCTGTTTTTGAACCGCCGGCTCGCCTTCTAATTTCTCATATTTCACCGTAATTCACCATAGTTGAGATGAGTGGGCTGCAGTTGGGCATTGCAGCGCATACTAAAAGCTTCTTGTGCGCCTCGCCCTTTCCCTCTGCGCTCCCTCTTCCCCGACTCTCCCGTCCTTAGTGGTTCACATTAAAGAGGAAGCGTCGACAGTCACAGAGTGGGGGAGAACACGCGCGTCCACAGAGTGAATAAAACACCGGTGTTTCCCAAATGTTGCAAATCTAACAGATGCGACTTAATAAACTGATTTGAATGAGTTCGTTTTACTCATTCAAATCACAGCAAAAACAAGAGCTTGTCTTATACTTCTTTTTGTAGATATCCATGCCTTGTGAACTGTTTTTAAATTGATAGTTGTTACTTAAAAAAAATGAATTATTTAAAAAGTGTTGCGTGTGTCTTTATTCAGTCCCTCAGATTTATATTGTGTCATTTTCCACCATTACTGCTGCTACAAACTATTTCATGAATGTTTTAGCCCACAAAACAAAAAATGGGGCAGATGGACAACTTATTAAATGCCAATGACTTCTGCAGATTGCACTTTTTTATTGTTGCATACATGAGAACTGGTTGCTGTTACCTAATTGTGCATTCTATTTATTTATTTACTTATTTTTTAATAAGAAGAATAAAGCTAATAAAAAAAAATCCCCTGCCCAATCTTTTCTACATGAGGACTTAGGTCCAGTATGACTGAATTGAACATATCTGGCTGCAATGTTTTGAGAGGTCTGAAGTTGTGCCATTCTCTTTCTATTTTGAGGTCATGGATTGAACAGTGCTGGGACAAATTACATGCAGTTTTGTGGTTATAATGTGACAAATGGGGTATGAATACTTTTCCAAGCCTTTGTTTAAAACTTTTAGACACCTGCTGGATAGTAATATGTGAGCCACTTAAGGTAGATGTTTAACGCAAAGGGCTTTATTATCATTTAGACAATTAACTTTTTTATCTCCTCATCTTTATCCTGCAAAACACAACTAAATAAAAAAAAATGATGCCATGTTATTAATGTTCTCACAAAGGCAATGATGACCTGCTCTTTAAATTATTAATCACATGAATTAGCATGTGAAGTTTTGCTTCTGTTTTTGCTTATTTTTCTCCTACAGTTGTACTTCTTCAGGCTTAGACCACCACATTCTCCTGATCTACGCCACCCAGATTCCACCTTTATTCCAATCTCTTTGTGATAAATGTGCAGAAATGATAAAACATTAAGACATTTGACAAATCAAACATCTGCGGCTTTCTCTGCTCAGAGCTGATGACCAGTTTCTGCACTGCTATCTAACAACAAACAAGAATTTGCTCCATTAGAAATGTATTTTATTTTAACTATTTTGACACACTGTGGTTCCGTTTCACAGGTCAGTCCCAGTCCTTATTATTCCAGACCCTTAGAATCAATTAATAACTTAAATGCAATCTGTCTGACAACAAGTAATAGGCTAAAAGTGCAAAAAAAAAAAAAAAATGAAATGAATTAATGAAGTTAATGAAGTTCAAGCACAGTTAAGAAACAAAATCATTTTGTATCAATCAGTCTACAGCCATTTCTATGGCTTTGGGACTCCGTGCAACCAAAGTCAGGCCTATTATCTACAAATGGAGAAAACATTAACAGTGGTGATGCTTCTTAGGAGTGGCCGGCCTACCATAATAATAACGCCAAGAGCCACACTGATGACTCATCTGGGAGGTCACAAAAAACCTTGAACAACATCTAAAGCACTGCGGACCTCGCTTGCATCAGTTTTTTGCGTCAGCATTTTTCGCTTCAATAAGAACAAAAAAGCTGGACAACAATGGCATCCAGCTCAAAGTTTGGAGCTAAAAACCACTGCTGACCAAAAGGAGCAGAAAGGCCTGTCATCTTTGACGGTCCCCGGGAAAATCCTCACCTTTTTTCATGCAGTGAGAAAGACAGAGGTGAATGAGTGGAGGATGGTGGTGGGGAAGAGACAAAATGAAGAAAAATAGGGTTATGACAGCTGACTGCAGGGGAGGAGCTTCGTCCTGGATGACCTTTTCTGGTTCTGCAGCATGTGAATCATTCACCTATGAACTGCAAAACCCTCAAATTACTTAGGTAATGCACTGATGTGTGAACCAGAGTGAACATCAACACATTTGTTTGAATTTCACAAAACACACTGATAAAGTTATACTCAGTCACAGACACCCTGAAAAGAAAGGAGCAGGTGTAGAAAATAAACACATGCAGCATTACAAGCAGTTCTGTCACATGAAAATTTCTGTTTTCTGTTCTTACATCACAACACAATAGAAATACAATATTGAAAAAAAAAGACTCATTTATCTTATTTTAAAATTTTATCGTGGTATAGTGGGGATGTTGCTGCGTTTCTCAGATTTATTAGTGAATCTAAATTTAGGTGTAGCAGTAAAAGTCTTTCTCATTTATTTTACGCATCTATCCAGTACCTCGCCTCATCCACTATATGTACTCTGTCTCTCTGCAGTGGACTTCTGGGCCACAAGGGACCCTGCACAGACCAAACCAGGTTTAGGAAATGAGTGTGTGAAAAAATATATATATATATATATATTT